ATTAGATTCTATCCTCATTCTGCTATGTTCAAATTATAAACAGTCATAAACAGAGTTTAAATTAGATGTCAATTATAATGTTCATTTCCTTCCACACTGAACAAAGAGAATGGCCTATATCTCTGGCCCTTGGGGTCACTTTCCTTCTCATCTTGATGCTTGAACCTGCACCTATCACAAATTTTTGCTATGACATTGCATATATTCTGCTGTTTTTTGGAAGTCAATGCAAATTATTTCACTCTGAAGGAACTTCAGGATTGGGTTTATAGCATGCATCTGTTGTGAGATTTGAAACTGCTTTATGGAGATACCTTAAGAAAATCCTACCCACCACACAAGAGAGTGAATTGCCAAGGTTGAAATAAAGGTTTCATACATTTCAAGGTTTAAATGAGAATGAACTAAACAGCTTTTTTATTCATGAATATAAGCCACTGAGATTCATATAAGCAGTAGCATATAATTTAATTTCTGAATATTAAAAATTTCTCTGATGTAAAAAGGGGAACAGATGAGTTCAAAGGTAAAGAAAAAACTTGAGGATCATTATTCCAAGACTACATATGGCTATATGGCTTCAGGCTCAGGAAGACTGAATTACAAATGGCTGCCAATGGGAAATGTACTGGGGTAAAACAGTAGGTATAGTTGCCCTTTTCTTAAACTCTTTCCCTGACACCCAGAACTGTTGGAGACAGATTATATTTCTAGATGCACTTTTACTTATTGTGGCTGGCAAGAAATTCTGAGTATATCTATCTTAAATTTGGTTGAATATAATTTCCTTTGTCACACAGTGATACACACAATTATATTTTGCAATATAATTTCTTCTAGATAACTAAGGAAAGGTGATCTAAAGCTATGATGGCTATATCTCACAACTGTCTTATGATAGTTCAAATCAATTGAAAATTCAATTCTTGGAGGTTAGGTTTTAGGGTACTGGGGCACCTTTGTACACATTTTTTAAAATACCCTTGGGCTTGAATGTAAAGCTAAAACCTGTCTTATAACTCACAGATTCTGATTTGTTTCTTCTGTTTGTTTTTTCACAGCAAGTGAAAGCTTGCTCAGTATAAGGATTATATACAACCTTTACAGAAGATTTAGTCTGTGCTTTGCTACACAGCAATTGGGAGACTTGGAAGAATTATGATATTTCAAAGCAAATGTTTCACCTAAGTGAAAACTGCCAACAATCACCGAAAATTTTACTGTACTTCAGATCCTAAGAGGCAAATCTGACCCTTTTGCTGGTAACCTGTGTGGTGAACTCAAGAATTATGACATCAGAAAAAAGCCCCAATTCATTGCATCTGGAAAATAGCACTTCCTATATTCACAATTCCACCACAGTCAGATGACACAGTGTTAGAGATGCCATGTCCTATCTGTGCTGAATGTTTTTCACTGTTTGAATTGACCTTTCATTATGTATCCTTACATAATGATATGTTCTACTGGAGACAAACCTTTCAGGTGAAAGGAAAGCTGTAGGGGGATGTGGTGGGAAATTTGAAACAATGACAATCCTTTCTCATGTGCTAAGTTTATAGGCTAAAGAGAATTTTTTTGAAAAATATTTTATAAAGAAGGGAATATATATAAAAAAGCTCAGAAGTAAAAACGATTTTAAAATAAAATTATCAAAGTTGATATAAAGTGGTTCAGAAAACAGAAGAAAAGAAAGAAAATACTTCAGATAGAGTGACCAGCTATGTGAAATAAACTATGCAGCAAACATAGACTAAAAACAGTAATTTAAAAAGAGAGAATTATAAGGAAAGGTGAAGTGAAAGAATAGACACAGAATCACATGCAGATTAATTTTATTCAAATTAATTATTTCAGTAAACAATATTAATACTGAACTGGTGACAAGCATGACTGATGGTGAAAAAGTAAATACTATTTTCTCAAATACTCTGGAGCTTCAGGTGCCGCATGACATTTGCACTCCTCTTTATACCCAAAATTCATCACAAATATTAATTTAAAAATGTCAATACTATTCTTTTTGAATAAACAAAAATTACTTTAGCAATTAGTTAAAGCAGTACAATTTAGAGATATAAGTTCCCAAAGAGTTGCAGCTAAATAGGGCCTAGCAGGTAACTTGACTGCATAAAAGAGCTGGAGCATCATTCAGTGCTGACTTTGTACTGAGATTTACCTTCATCCAGTAGATGTCTACAAGCATAAATATTTCACTTGGGTGATCTCTGGAAGACCTAACAAAATATATTTACTATTTACTTGTTTCTCGAGAATCTGCTCCAATATGTAGAAATTACATCAAATTTGTCCATCTGGTTTATTTCTCTAGTAACGAATGAGGGGCAAAACATAGTATTCTGATTTTTATAAGGAGAATAAAGTTTGGTTATTAGGCATCTTTGGGTTAATGCTATGATTTAAATTAGATGTAGCAATAATTTTTAGAATTTCTGTAATGCCTCCTATTACAGCTCAACTAGAAAAACTATGAGAAAGACATAAATTAACATAAAATCTGATTCAATATTTTGGAATTCTTGTTCCATGTGAAACTAGAAATAGAAATGTGTTGTAACTTATATTTTGAAAAAATTAAAACATCATAGAAATAAAGTTCTGTGGGTTTTTTAAAATCAAGCTGTTATTTGCCAATTTGAAGAAAATAGTTACAACTAATTAACAATTAAATTCTTTGGTTCCTAACATGATAAGACCTTCCCACAACTTTATCAGCAGAAAGTTATGAACCTTGAAAAGTGGTATGAATATATCTCATTTAGCACCTAATTCTGAACTAGATCCAGTGCCACTGACAACTCCCTCTGCATTAGCATCAGCTGAAAGCTACTTCTCCAGTAGTGCTAGCTTGACCTAGCACTACCTTGACAACACCTTGCTTAAATGTTGAGAAATATTCTTGGATATCTAAAAACTGTCATGGTTAATATGGACTGACTACTTAAAAACATAAAAACCACAACTGAATTAGATCTGCTGGCAATACTTTATTACTTCTAGCTCCCAACCAGCTAAATTGTGATTGCTTCAATTTAGAACATGTTGCCTCAGGAAACTCAAAGCAATTAAAGGCAAGCTGAAATATAATAATACAGAGAGAGAAAAAAAGATCTGCACTAGTATAGCTATCTTCTGAAAGGAAGAACACTACACAAAACCTGCACTGCAGGTAATACACTTTTCTTTGAGCTAGGTCTTTGAATAAACATAATGAGCAACAATCAAAGCAGGACTGACAATGGATTAGGTAAACTTTCCCATCGATTCTGTTGCAGAAAAATGTTCTTGCTCAAATATCTATAGGACAGTGTTTTTATACTATTGGAAGGTAATATCTTCAAATTTTTCTGTCTGAATATTTAAGCAGCTCTCTAGCAACAGCAGTTAGTAAAAAACAGCATCTCCTCCTAAGTAGCTCTTTGTCAGGAACAGTATCAAAAATTCAGTGGTAGGTTCTTTTTATCCTCAATTGCTGTGGTTTATTATATTACATGGATTTTATGTAATTCTCTTGCCTCTTCAGAAGCTCTAACATGCCAGCAAGGATTATTAAGATAGGACTCTTCCAAGGACAGTATGAAGCCAATCTTAATAATTGCATCTAGATACAGTTTTTTGTCTGGAGAGAAGATTATCTATCAAGTTGCAATTTATGCATGTAGATAAGGCATAAGTTTTTGACTTATTCAACAAACTGTAAGTAACCAATTTAACTCCAACAAATTTTTTTCAGGCCAAACTTATGATATCTCACATTTGCAAGAGCAACAGATTGTGATACAAGTTAGATACTTTGAAGTATCCTACAACTGGAAAATCTCTGGAGAAAAATAATGTCATTAGAAAATATTGCTCTATTAAAATTAATTTATGTCTATAGTTATGATTATTTCAGAATTACAGGTACTTAAAATATATAATTTAAAAACTTCCCTATTATGTTATACTATGCATAAAACTGCCTACGTAATCCTTAAGATATGGCTAAAAAAGGTGATTAATGCTAAAAAAGGTGCAGCTCATTCAAAATATTATTTGCCTGAGCCTATTTAGAGAAAATAAACAAAACTCTCATTGAGCTTGAGACTGAACAAATTTCACCTGTGTGAACATATTATTTCACTTGAAGCTTTAATCATCATGTGTTTAATTCCTCCAGGAGGTGCTTATCACAATGAAATAATAATATAAATAGTTTCTTGAACAGCATGACAACTAGGTCATAAACTGTCCTATCTGAACAACAAGAACTGTTTTAATAAAAAGAAAGATTATCAAAGAAGATTTTTATAACCTTCTTATTGGCATTTATTTAACAATACCTAGTTGTCCCTTAGTCAGTCATTACGTTCTGATGATATTTCTATCAGAATTTATATTTGCATGTATATTCTGTTCTTTATCTTCTGATATGGTATTGTATGCTACATTTTGTTTTCAGAGTAAAACACTGCTTTTCTCACAGAAAAGAAACAGGGCATTTTATGACATTAGAATTCTTTTTCTACATAGATCAAATACTTGTGTAGCAGAAGTGAGATTGTAAATACTTGAAGGAAATGTTAGCAAGGCAAATTTGGAACACATTTGTATTTTATAAAAAAGAGCAAAGAGAAAAAAAACCAAACAACTTTCTTTGAAAATAATTGTGAACTACTTTGATACTCATAAAAGTCTTCATTCCCAAACTAAGGTCTCCTCTGACTTTTTTCATATAGGAGAAAACCAATATAGTGGAATGGAAGTAGATTCTTCTCAACTGTGTTTCAGGTCCTCAAGCCAGTAATATTCTGAGTTGCTGTAATTATTTGTATATTCAAGTTCTAGCTAAAACACAAAACTGTCTTCTATAAACCACAGAGAAAAAGAAAATATGTCAGATTTGTTGACTGTGATATACATTGAAATACAAAATGCCACAATTTTCCTTGCCCTCTGAAAAGAGAACATGTATGATATATAGTTGTGTAATAGCATACCTCCATCAATGCATTCTGGGGTGAAAGAAATATCATCTAGAGCAAATTCTGTGGGTTGACTCCACCCCACTTCAGCTTCAAAGGCAACTCTGAAAAGACTGTTACTGGAGAGAGCCACACTTCCATACATCCATTTGTTTTCTTCATTTCTACTAGAAGACCACATAAGGATATCCATTCCATGTTCTTCAACTGTGTAGACCTGTTTATGACAGAAATGAATCAGCCTTAAGCAACAGGAGTGCAGCCTGGGAGAGTAACAGAGACAAGTGCAGCAGTGCACCTCCCTGCCTGGGCGGTACTGACCCTCCTAGATATGGTTCAGATCCACTTGGTGTTGACCAAATGTTACTGAATACTTTTGCTAATGCTGGTTAAGCTTCAAATATAAAGTTACTGTGAAAAGAAAAAAAAAAAAAGAAAAAAGAAAAAAAGAGCTGCTAACCCAATCACTAATTGCAAAATCTACAGTCTCAGCCTGACATACAGAAGATAATGAGTAAAGACTTAAACCCAAATTCATTTAAAAATTGAAAAAAGGCCGAGAAAGATCTTGAGCTTTTATCTCTAAATGTTGACTTCCTTATAGTTAGACTGAGTGAAGATTTTAGAGGTATAAATAAAATATTTAGCAACTAGGGATTTAAGTCTGTCATCTGGCACTAGCAATTTATAGTGCAGAGTTTGAGACAGTCACAAAAAGTTATTGCAAACATATTTAGCAAAGATATGAATAAAAATCCATAAAATATTTAAATACTGAAAGCAATAATAGCAATAAAGTTTCAATTAACCACCAACTAGTGAATTTATGTCAAGAACCTGAAACTGGAAAATAAAGATGTATTTTCTTTTCCTACTCAGGTGTTATAAAATCTGATCAGGTCAAAAAAAATTAAAAAGAACTAGAGAAAAGAAAGTAAGCATATTCTAACCATTACAAATGATAACTATTTTTTAAGGGACTGAATATTATAATCAATATACTCTTCTCATCACTTTTAGAAACATAATTCTCTTAAACTGATTTTCCAGTCACCTGTAGGTTCATGTTGCCAATTGAATGCCCCAGTTTAATAATAGAACAGAAACCCTGAGGCCCAAGGAAGTTATGAACTTCAACCCATTCTAATGATCTGTATAATGCAGTATATTTGATTCTCACAGTCCACCTGGTGGGACAAATAAGCTAAAAACCAAAATGGCACCCTAAATCCCACATACTTTGTAGAACTTGGTGTATTGATTAAAAGATCTACGATGCTTGACAATTCTTGCAGGTTATTTGATTTTTGGAGTAAGGGAGCAAGAAACAATACTGACACAAAGTAACTGAAATCAGGACCAAATTTTGTCAAGCCTGATCTTTGGTCACAGGACTGTGTAACAGCAATATCTTGTCACTGTCTTCCTAAAAGCACACCTCTTGCAGGGCTAAAAGTACAGGTGTTGAGAAGAAATAGATGGTTCAACCCATAAAATAAAATTAAAAAATGTGTGCAACAGTTTTCATGCTACCAGGCTCTGAGGTTTTAATAAGTTGAAACCCTTAAATAGAAAAACCCTTTGTGAGGTTAGGACAATGTTAAACACCTGTGTGTGTCTCTGGAACCATTCACTATTTCACCAATCATGAAATATGATGATCTTGATAATCTGGAATTTTACAGCATATAATAATGCTAGCATGGTTTTAGCTATAAGCAGTGATATTTACTTTTGGAAGGTAAATATTGATGTAATGTCCATTTCAGTGTATCTCATTGTTAAGTCTCACAGCTGCACAAATAGCTATTGGAGAAGTGGGAAGAATCCAAAACATTTCAAGACATTACCATCTTTCTTACAGAATACTTAAAGATTGTCACATTGTTTAAAGCCAGATTTTTTTTTTTTTTCCCAATTCTTTTGGTTAGGTTAATAGGAGAATTTTCTCATACTTAAAGTTTCAAGGCACAATAATTGTTTGAACAGATCTGTCTATGTACAGAGAAATTTCACTGTGTCCATACAAAGTCTGGTCTCAGGTACAGCAGCAAGGACCCATTCTGTGAACATTCAGATCAAACCTGCAGCTCAAGCTCAGTACCAACAATAAACCCTTTAGGATCCTGCTGTGTGTTCACTGGCCAGTGGGCCTGGAATGGCAGCAGGTCAAACTGGGTCTTAAGTGTGACATTTTGATGACATCATGTTCAAATAGATACAAAGTCATCTTACATGCCTTGTCTTTCTTTCCTTTGCAATTTAACTTACACTTACCATAGAGTAAGGGTATGCAGATACGTAATTACTAATGGATTAATTAACATGTTATGGTAATTTATGTGACTCTGTCCTCAGTTAGACTAAAGTTTAAACCTGGTGTATAACAATCATATAGGTAATTGAGGATGCCACTATCATTTAGTATAAATCTCTAAACTGGTACATTGGAAATCTCTGTTGAACTCCCAGTTCTGTTTCATTTTTCATGTACGCTCCTAGGGTAATGCTTCAATCCCACTACTTGCCAAAGTACTCCTTTGTATACCTGAGGTCTCCAAACTTTTTCCTGTCCACAACTATGCCAGGAAAGGGTCTGTGTTCTTAAATGTCTTCTAAAAAAAGTTGAATGAAATTTCTAAAAGAATAACACATAACTGAAAATGCCTACTAAGTCAAATGAGATTAAAGGAGAGTTCAGAAAAATGGGAAGCCCAAGAACTCTGTTCCTTTAGCAAGGGATACAGGTCTTATTTTCTCTGGGGTTGTGTCCAGTGAAAGGGAAGAAATATAATAATATCTTCTCTCCTGGGCCTATCCATGTCACTCAGTGTTTGAGCATCTTCTGAATCAGAAAGAATGTCAAGTGTATATGAGACTTTTGCTGGCCTGTGTAAACATATGCAGCACATGAAAGGTTGAGCAAATTTTCATGGATAAGATCTCCCTAGAGCCCTGGAAGGGTACAACTGTGGTGCTTAATGCCTCCAGTACAACCTTCCTGCACAGCATCCTATCTAATGTGTACAAGCTAGCCTGGTAGTGAAAACAACTTAAGATGTGCAAGAGAAAAAGCTGGCAAGATGAAGCTCACTATATGGTATGTAATGGAAGAAAAATAACCACCAAACAAACACCAACCAAGCAAAAAACCCCCCAAAACCCACAAAACCCTCAAAACAACCAAACAAGTTGTAGCAAAATCCCATTGAACAATTCTGTATTTGTAAGTCTGATAAGATTGTTCTCCAGCCTAATACTGATCTAGATGATCCACTGAGAACAACATTCTTTAGGAAATCCTATTTACCGCCTTAAAGTCATGACTTAGTTCTAATTTTCCACAGAATATCCTGTGTGTTAGAAAGTTCTGAATTATTTTTCAGCTTCCATGTCATTTTGAGGATGCAGAAAGTACTTTTAAAGGTCATAAAATAGAAACTGTTTTCTATTTGTTAATCAGCATTACTCATGGCTATCTTGTACCCTCATCCTAACTTTTCAATATGATATATTATCTCCCTGATCTTGACTGAATCTAGCAGCTGGGATGCAGGAAGGTACAACATTCCACCTGAATTGCCTAAGAAATAAGAAACCAATGCAGGTCTGAAGGGTGCATAATGAGATGTATTTTCCCACGATTGACAACTTAGAGTCTTTAATTGCCAGCCGAGGAAACAGGAAGATCTTGAAAAAGAGAACCTGTATTTTCACTTCATTAGGCACCAGAGACTTGTGTCAGCTGAGGAAAATTTCCATTGACGCCAGTGGATAATGATGCTAGGTTTTCTGCTTTACATTTTTTAAGATCATGCTTTTGAACTCTTCATGTTCCTCAGCAGACCCAAGTCTCACCAGAGACAGACAGAAATTGTTTCTAAGTCCACGAATCAGATTACAAAATTGTATCATATTTCATTATCCCAATAGAGACGCACTTAAAAAACTACTTACCTCTTTTCTCCTTATTCCCCTAAACCTCTGTTTAAAATAATAAAAAATTTGCCTAAAAATTAACTTGAAGTAATAAAATATTTAGTTTTTTTGAGTAGAAGTGACCTGTCTTATACCAAGATTTATTATAAATCAGTTATTTTAGTATCAACAAATACGAAAGCAGAAAACTGATATATTAGCTATACTGTCACATCAGGAATTAATTTTACTTTTAATTCTCCACTGTATGAGTATGGCAGACTCCTGAGGTAAATGGGCAGAGAATCATAATAAACACTGAGTGTTTTCAGTCTAACTGACAGATGATCAATAGAATTTCCATTGGGAAGAAACAGATGTGAAAACCACATTCATTTTCTTCTGAAACTGCTCTCCTACACTATTAAATTCAAAAAAGTAGTCATAAGAATGTAAAGAGAAAGGTGAGGTTTTTTAAATTTACATTTGCAGCATAATGCAGCAACACTTGTTTGTATTAAGAGGTATTTTTGTCCAGAAAATTTTGATTGATATATTAGACCAGGCTTGTATTTAGTGCTAGGTAACTCCCCTTCCAAAGACTCTTACCAAATACTTCTAAGAAAAGGTGGTAGATTTGTTCTTACAAAGTCATTATAAAGGAATTTTTTTCTCCTGTTGTTTAATGATTGATTTAAGTCCTGAAGCAGGAGTATTCAGTTTTCTTTAAATAGCATCCATTCTATGTTAATACAAGAGTTGCTGTAAACATTGTGTCCTTTCTAAAAACAATAATAATAGCCCAGACTTTTGGTTTCCCTATGAAAAAATCAGAGTTTATGACAATCAAATTGTGCAATTAAAATGTGCATTGCAAATACAAGAGCATTTCAAACTCCTTTTCCTCTTTCCTCAGTGACTAGTTCCTTTTCTGAGTAAGAACAGGATCATTTCTCTAACTTCCCACTATTTTGTGCAGTTCTACCACATCTACTTCCTATGCCATTACAACATTAATTTTAATCTTTCTTTTACTGATTCCTTACATGTCATTTTAATCACACATCTCGGTATGTCCTATATCTGCAGTCCTTTTTTTTTTTTTTTTAATTCAGACTTGACCAGATAGCTGTCCTTCAGATAAGAACTATATCAGCTTTTGTACTGATGTTATTATATTCTGGCACATTATTCAAACTTCCTATTACAGTTTGACTTCTTTCACCTCCAGTGCAAACTGAAAAAAAAAAAAAAATCTTCACAGAGCTGTTATTTCAGAAGTTTTGGGCTGTTGATTTTATTACTTTTTTTTTTCTTTTTAGGCTTTTTCCTTTTTCACTTGAATGGGTACAGTTAATTTATATTCTTGATTTAATAACAGCAACAGTTGATACTGAATAGCTTATTAGTTTGGCAGAAAAGAGCAAAATGTCCACAGAGGTAAATTGATTCTGTGATGGGCTGACATTCCTTGCTGAGTGCCTCAATCTGTTGTGAACACATTTCTATGTAAGAGTACGTGTAGCAAAGCTAAAAACAGTGAACTTTATTTGTATGTGGGAGTAAGACAGTTTATTATAAAATTGAGGCAATTGGAAGAAATTAAATTAGTCTTCTTAAAAAGAAAAAGTCCAATTAAAAAGCAGGCTCTGGCTGTCTGCCTGCTAACTCACACATAGGCCACACACATCTACTTATTCACAAATGCTAAGTGTTCTGTGGTGCTTGAAAACATTCAAAAGCTCCTTCAAAGGAGCTCATCATCAATCTTGCATGCTGTAAGGTCCAGGATACTTGAATTTAAACAGATAGTTAATCATAGATAATCTCACAGTACTTCAGCTATCAACAGGTCAAAAAAAGGAATTTATGTTTGCTTTTTACTTGCTGCTTACGTGAACTTCACAAAATACAGCTTTTTTTAATCAGTAAGTAAATGTACAGCAACACTCAGAGTAATAAGCTAGGTGCTAGAGATAAAATTGGTATGCAAATCCCATCTTGAAAAAAATTACTAAAACAAAGAAAAGGAAAAAAAAGGTGGAATGAAGGATAACATTATCCTTGGGCTGGATGTAAGGAGAAGATAGTAGAGAGTTTGTTGCTCCTGGAGGCTGAGTAGTCTCCATTTATGGACATTTTCAAGACTGGGTAAATTCCTGAGCCACCCAGCATCATCTTGTAGCTGATTCTGGAGCAAGTGGTTGGACTAGAGACCACCTCAGGCCCTTCCAGCCTAACTGCACTATAATCCCATGGAACAGTGCTATGATTATCTTTTCCAGTGGAGAAAACAGTGGTAAAGACTTCCTGACTTAATTGAATGTCCAAGATGACAAAAATATTCTTGTTCACTTTTAACATAAACTAACTTATATCCTGTACTGACGAAAAAAACTTAATGTTACCTGTATTTTCAAACTTTAAAAAACCCCACAGATAGTGTTGTTTCTCAGGTCACTTAAAAAGGAACTGTGAAGCATATTTATACAGTGAGTCACATGAAGTGAGTTGTTTGCCAAGGGTTCACATCCCTGCTTGGACTGTTACTGGATTACTTAACAACCAAAAGTGTACTTGTTAAGGATGCTTGGGGAACAGCAAGATGACAGTTTCATGGAAGCTTGAGCTATAATTGTTAATACAGTTAAATACCTTATTTCCAATAGTTTTAATAAAACACCTTTCACACACAGTTGCATTAATATTTTTAAAACATATCATTTAAACCACTTAACATTAGAAATTGTCTCTATTTTATGTTAGAGTGAATTCTGCAGAGAACTGTGCTAGTACTGGGTAGGTTTTAGTATGCTAGTCAAATGTGCAGTGTTAATTCTTACACATGTAGTGAAAGGACTTCAAATTGAACTAAAACTAAAGCAGAACTGTCACTTGGTCTTGTCAGGAGAAGATTTGTGAAACAGCAGTAAGTTGTGATTAAGTTTTGTCAATATAAATTCCTTAGATTTTGCTAATCCTTGACACAAAAATGCAAATAGTACTAAAGCAACTATTATTATGCCATAATGTAGTAGGACTTTTACCTTTAAGACTCCTGTTTCCCTAGAGGGAAACATCCAGAACCAGAAGCGAACTCTACAGACCCCAAGACTAGCTGGGAAGAACTTGGTGGTAGTTATCCTTGCTCTGTTTCCTTCCTTCTGGGTGGATGAGTTGACATACAAAAATCTCTGTCCTTTACCTTAAAAAAAAAAAAAAAAGATAAAAAGCATTTAGAGTCTTTCAATTCTATTTTATGCTTTGCTTTAGTTTATAAGCATTTTTATAAACACAGATGCTAGTATTTTTTTTTTTCCTTTTTCCCACATATATGTATACCATACCATACTTCTGTTGAGATCTTCCTTGTCAATGCTTTTGTATTTCACAGAATTTCAGAATAGCTTGGGTTGGAAAGGCCCTTAAAAATAATCTACTTCCAACCCCATGTCATGGGCAGGGATGCCAGCCACTGCATCAGGCTTCTCAGAACACACCCAGGCTGGCCTTGAACACGTCCAGGAATGGGGCATCCACAGCTTCTGCACAATTTTTTATCAGTGTCGCACTGCCTTTTGAGTAAAGAATTTCTTTATGATTTCCTAATTTCCAATCTAAGACACCCAAGTGTCACACCATGTGACTGAGAGCATTGTCTAAATGCTTCTTGAACTCTGTCAGGATAGTGTTGTGACCACTTCCCTGGGGAGATGTTCCTCTCCCCAACCACCCTCTGGGGGAAGAACCTTTTCCTAATATCCAACCTAAACATAATGGACTGATGGATATTTCTAAGTATTACAGGCTGTTGGCAATTCTGACAAGCAATTCCTCTGTAGCTAATGTGAATATATCTTGCCTGGATAATTTAAAAGTAAATTAAAAATCTGGGTAATTTTGTAAACACTTTGCTCTAATTTTATTTTCCTTTTGCTTCACTTTTATTAACTTTGTTTTTCTTACAATTGCTGGGTAATTTCACAGAAACAAAGAACTAATTAAATGACTGAAAGAAACTGAAATAGAAAAACACACAAAATCTCCTTAAAAAGCCAGGGGCTAGTGGTTGTTTTGTTATCACATTTCATCAAAGTAACAGCAAGGAAGCAAGTCGAACTACTTATTTGCAAGAAACAGCTTGCCTGGAACAGCTGCAGTAGTTTCTACCTCTACCTTGTCTGTTCTGTCCCTTTCCAAGAGGAATGCACTTCCAGATTTACAGCCTGCAACATAAAGTAGTAGGAATGTCTGCAAAAACTGTGATTTGTGGTAGATAAGCAGTTCCCTCATGATCAGGTGAGCAATTCCTGCAGCAGGTGCAGAATAAAGGAAAAGGGAGGATGAATGAGTTGGACAGAAGTGGCTACAGCCCCCCATGATAAGGTGTCTCTATTGATTTTGAAAACATAAAACACAAGATAAAAAGAGTCAAAACCTGCAGATGATTCTGCTCACAAACCCAGGAGAAAAACAGCATAAATTTTGATACTTCTAGATTGAATATTAACTATACTTTGCTGATTAGATGGAAATTAAGATAGGGATTCTAACCATCAAGGCTTCTAGAAAGAAAGTTAACTACTTCTCAAACAGAGATTGGTACATTTGTGATGGAAATTAATATCCCACCCAGATATATTGTATAATATAAAGAATATTTTATTTAATATTTATGCTATACAATATATAATTATGCTTACTACATAACACAGATTACTGTAATTGCCTATCAATTTATTTCATTCTCCTGACAATCAAGAGGTATCATGGTAGCAGTTTGTCAGAAATATCTTTCTGGCAAACCAATGTCAGGGAGGTAAGTTAAATCAAGGTAGGAGCCTCAAGCATTTCACATACAGTCCCACACTTTACTTCTCATCCTGCAACGGTTGCATGTTTTTATAAAATTCATAAGGATGGTAGCACACTTCAGGAAAAGTAAATTATTTGAAATATTGACAAGGAGAAGAATATTATTATAGCCAGTTACCATTTAATCAGAGAATTCATCTTTTAATGTCAGAAGCTGAAATTATGTAGCTGAAATTTGTTATTAGCATTGAATACAAAGGAATAGTATTATTTCAGTTGGATGAGACCTAAAATGATCATCTAGCCCAACTGACTTATCAGTTCAGGGCTGCCCAAAATAAAACATGTTGTTAGGGGCATTGTACAAATGCCTCATAAACACTGAAAGGCTGGAGGCACTGAACACCTCTAGGAAGCCTGTTCCAGTGTTTGGCCTCCCCATTGGTAAAGAAATGCTTCCTTATGTCCAGTCTGAACCACTCCTGGCACAGCTTTGAACCATTCTCATATATCAGCTGATCACACTGAGATGTGCTGTTATCTTGGCACCAATCTACATTTTTTGCAGTTTTTTTTTTAATTCAGTGAATATTTTATTTTCCCGGAAGTGATGTAGTACACATGGCAATACCTGGTGTGTGGTCAGTATGAGGATCTGTTTGCCCTGTGACAGCACCGTTGCTAATATTCCAGTCAAAATCATCAGTAGTGTCTTGTGTTAATCCACATACAGTTGTCCACTCTTGATCTTGTGTTTCAAAGTTACAGCTTCCAGGAATACTTGTGTAGTAACCTGAAAATACAACAAAAAGTCAATTATCCTCCCAGCCCTACATAAAGGTGCTACAGTGTGCATACTAAAAATGGAGATGACTCTGTATGGCTAACACTGTGATTCCATGAATTTCATGCATGGACATAAATAATATGTGATAGTTAATGAGGAAAGGAAAAACACATTCTTCACTTTAAGAGCAGGTATAAACTTTACTACAGATGAATGCCCATGACAAACTAATGACCACCAAATTCAGCTCTTATCCAAGGTAAATGGAAAGAATGATTTCTGGACAATTAGCTAGCAAAACTGGACTGCCCTTCCACAGTGGCATTTTTCCAGTGTCTCATTACCTTCTGAGTAAAGAATTTCTTACACATGTTGGCCTTGTGAATATTATGTCTAATGGTAGCTTTATGATAACAGATATGTTCTAGTGATTAGGACACTCTTCCTAAATTCAGGAGGTCTGAGTCAAACTGCTCACTTCTAACTCTGCTGCTTTAGGTTACTCTGGAAAAGTAATTAATCAACAAAATTATATAAATTGTGCGGTACAGATGAGTCAAATAGCACCACAATATTTTCTGTTGGCTCCAAAACATCTTTTCCTTAGTTATAAAGCAGAGGCAGCTACACAATTGCTGAGTGCGAGTGTGGACAACATCTGTGAGGAGACTTCAGAAAAATGTTACAAACTATTGAACATCACAATCAGCCATTAATTTTAGATATGGGTCTGTCTGTGACTGTTCAGGATGGGTTTGAGGATTTAGACTATGTTCCTTTATTTAGAAATATTCTGCAATATTAAAATACAACTATTTACGTGTCATTGTCTGGCTATAAAGGATATAGATAAAAATAGTAGATTTAACTACCTCCTATTAATCTGTTTTGGTTTTTTTCCTTTTTTCTACTTTGATGCTAATAGAAAAACTGAGGCCATTCTTTATGGAAATATTATCACAAAACTGCTTTTAACCAAGGTCTGTACAAACCCTGTAACCCTGTGGACATTTGTTCTCTGTAAAAAAAAAGTGTCATTTTAGCTAAATGCATAAGACAAATATAATAAAAGATGTATAATTTTTGATTCAATATAGGCTATTCATGGAATCAAAATCAGTGAATATGCTAGGGGGAGAATTTGTGCTGCAAGGAATGAAGTGTATCTCCTAAGCACAGATATGCACTGACAGTGTATTACAAACATCATGTAAGTCTAATAAAAGCCTAACTCCAACAATAACCTCAGACACAGGAAGAACAAAGGGACCCCATTATTTAAAAAAAGAAAGTACATTTTCTTGTGCATCTCTAATAAGATCAAAGTCCAAATTCATTTACAATTTACCCTAGAATAGAATACCTGACTTCAGGTTTTTTTACCCTAATATATCAACAGTGCATTCAGAAGGCAATTATTAATAAATATTTATGAACAGTACTTACTGGGTTGACAAAGTCATGTGACCCATCTGTGCCTGCTGTTTTTTTTTTTTAATGGGTAAGCATACCCTATTTAGAAGCCAGCAGAAGAAAATTGCTCCATTTATTGGAAAAATTGCTTTTATTTCAATAATTCAAGCACTCCTCTAGTTGGTTCATCAACACTGAGGTTTGCCATTAATCAGATCTGTCTGTATAGTTGGCTGCAATTCATGAAAATTGAAACTACTTTCATGTGTGTTTTTTTCACGTCAGTACTCCCAGCAGCACACTGAAAGAGAATCAAAATTTTGCAAGATTGCCCGACTGGACTGAATGAAACATTGAGTAAGTAATTACCATGGGTTTATTAAAAAAAGTCCACCAGCCTAGGTGGATGCAGTTCATTTCATACAGGTTCTGTTGTAAATCCTGCATACAGGAATTGCTGCTGAGTAGATTATGGTCCATTTACTTCTTTGGAGCTACACTTGTATAAAACTATAGTAGAATGTGAAATAAGCTCAGACCTTGAGCTCCGTGCAAAGGAGAATACTGCAGACAAATGTGGCCATAACCACTTGCGATGGGACAGGTTAGGCTATGAAGAGGTTTCTCTGTGTCTGTTACATTTTCTTTTCTGATTAAGCAGCTCCTGCTGTCTTTTCATTTAAAAAATCAGGTTTCCATATCTAGGAGGCATTAGGTGCCCTTTAATGTTGTTTATTCCCATCTCTAAGATATATGCTCAGGGAAAAAGTGTGTTTATCTAAATATAAGGCATCATTTGTTGGGACTAAAATAGAGCAGACAAGGAAATATTATACCTGGGGCTTATCTGAGTATTCTGAATGGCAGTTTACTGTATCTCTGCATTACACCTCGGTAGAGGCAGCAAGACTAAAGACTGATGAAAATATTTTGATGTATCTACAGCCTTTCTATCAACAATAAAAAGATATTTCAGTCTATTTTTTTAAAGGGAATATCAGCAATTTTTTTTCTCCCCTTGGAAAAGCTTTTCTTCAGTATAGCAAAGACTGTGTTGCTTTACTGTGTATCAAGATAATTTATGGCCTGAATAGTTCCAATCTATTACCTGACTAAGAAAAGAGTTCTTCTAGAAAACACAGAACAACACCCTCCCCCCAGGAAGCTATTATATTCTCTAACAATATTTAGAGACTAAATCAAGTGTCTCCACAGTTTTACAAATATCTTTACTGATCAGTTCACTTTGGACAGTAATTCAAATTTAGCGTGTATCTGCTAGGTGGGGAAAATGCTACAAGGGTGAGTTTACTGAATATTTTGCTGCACCTACTTTTAAAAAATATTCTGCTGCACTTACTTTTTTGCTGCCTAACTCCTGAAAAAGTACTAAAACTTTATGCAAGAAATACAGATTAGCTGTTTAAAATCTATCTTGGAATCGACTTTTAAAAACCTAGTATTTTTAAATTATTATTCAATGTAAATTCATTTCCATGAATATGATTCACAAAGTTCACTGCAACACAAAGTACCACAAGAGGTAGAGATCAGAAATAGTGACACTATCTTCAGCTTTTATACTTCAGAACTGATATTTAATTTTATGAAAGGGAGAAACTCCAAGTTAAATCTACTATAGTGACATCTTAGCAACTTTTTTAGTACGTATGTAAGTCTATGTATGCCTGGTAAAAACATTATCATGCACATCACCCAATAAAGGGCCATTACTTTTGTAATCCTGTTCAGTCGAGCAGGAAGCAATCCCATATAAGAATAAAGGACCTTGATTTTCAAAGGATCACAAAATATTTGCTTATTTCAGTGAAGAACTTTTACTTCCACAAAGGATGAACATTGAATTGATGCGTGGATTCATTTACTCTATCTAGCAAGTTTACTTTTGAGCATACCTGCATTATGGCAGAATTTGACCCTCCAGCTCAAAGATTAACAATTAGACTGATTACTGAGCTGCATATATGGACTACCTAATCTTCCTACTCCAAATATCGAATCCAGACCATAACTGTACATAAACAAAGATATGGAGCAGGAACAAAGGCACAATGCTTTATGGCTTCTGAGTTTCAGGCCTGAACTGGAAAGCCCATTAACTTGATCCATTTTTTCAAATGGAGCTGTGTCCTTCCATCTCAATCAGCCTGAGAAAAGAATGCCTTCAGACAAATTGTGTCTCAGTATTCATTAGGACTTAGGCAAAGATAAACAGACTCATTTTTTTCCAACTGTTCTGTAATAGAGAAATGACAGTAAAATATTTTCATAGCTCTGAGGTAGAAGCAAGATCAAACAATGAAACTGTACTCGCACTACTCAGATCACAAAGGTAAAATTCATTTGAAAGGAAAGACAAGCTTATTTTTAAGTATTCACCTTTTTATGGCAGAATCATGCCTAAATGTTATTGTACATAAGTTTTGCTTGCTTAACTTTTACATTCAACATTGATATTTCCTTTCAACACTTTTTTACATTAATAAACAAGCTTATAATATTTTTTTTCTCAAAGTTAATATTGTAACTCATTGATTTAATTCCTCAAGTATGCTTTTAATCCTTAAGCTCGTTTTGGCCTTGGTGTCAGGGTTTCTTTGAGTATTTAACCTTTGGTTTTAGTTAGTTACACTTTTGCAACTAAACCGCTCTTGAATACTTTTTGGAGAAAATATCTCTGAGGATGTGAAAATATCAGACCTTTCGACCTGGGGATAAGGAAACCTGCTTGTGATCATCTTCTGAGTGAATGAATCATCTTTATGAACTCACCTATAGAATTTAAAGCTATAATTTTAACTGAAGATTAGATTAACACACAAAGAGATACTCACTGCAGTCAGCTTCATCTGATAGGTCTTCACAGTCTGGTTTATAGTCGCAGATGAGCTGAGACTCTATGCAATTTTTATCCCCACACACAAAATCAGTGAGGGCAGGACATTCCCTGGGATTCTCTCCAGCTGAAATCAACAGGTCATTTAAATCAATATTGCAATTAAATCAAAGGATAATAGTCTAAATTTGTTAACTATTATACATCGTGGCTTTAGGGTTTTACTGCTTCCAACAGATGTTATTTGGTCTCACTCTTTTAATGTTGAATTAAATATTTCTAGACTGCTGTATTTGCCTTAACCAAAGCTTCAAAAGTAGAAAGATTTGTCTGGAAGAAAATTCAATTCACCATCAACATAACCATTTCCCTGGTATATCTGCTGGGGATAGTCTATTAAAAAAAGAGTTCTGTGAGCTGTTTGAAAGCATACAGGCAAAAGGCTTTATTCTGCTCATAATTATATTTGTTTGAAAATAGCATTTTAAACTGAGAAAAATCACTGTTATACACATTTGAATAATAAATGAACTTTTAGAGTCTTTCTAAGACATTTACCTTTTGTTTGAAGAGTTTAGTAAAACTGCTGCTCTGATTGTGTGAACTGCTGAGCTTCTCTTAAGGTATTTAACATACAAATATGTTTTACGAGTGTTCATCTCTGAAGGTGAGTGAAAGTTACCTTATAAAATGAGAGTGACTGAGTAACTTTCATTAGGTTCAAATCCAGAGTAGTGAGATTCAGCCATCCCTGGACTGTAAGACTAAAAGGGAACTGACATAAGTTATTTTTTAGTTCAGTGCACTGTGTGCATAATTTCAGCCATCAGTAATTGAAACAGTTCTGATAGCCCCAGATGCAACACTTCAAAAGCACTCTAATAACCTTAGATTGCCTTTCAGTCTAGAGCTTCAAGTTCTGCAAAAGACATTTAGGAGAATTTATTTTGACTGTATTTAGAGTAACGTGTTTCATTCAATGTGTTTTTTCCTTCAAACATGACTAATATGTGACATACTGTTAAACACAGTCTGATCAGAAGATCATGATATTTACCTTTGCACAGGCCCATATTTCCAGAGGAGTTGTTGTTAGGGTATTAATCTCCAAAAATTGTGGTACTGAATTTTAGAGACTGAGGAACTGCATTCTCATTGAAGCAAAATAGGAAAAGAGAACTAAACTTTTTTTTCCTTTAGTTTTAACATATACTCAAAGCAATATTAAACACAGTGACAATATAGCAATAAGATGCAATCCAAATATTTAAAATGGATAGTACAAAAAAGAAGAAAAAAAAAATCACTGCAAGTAACATTGGTTACTTGCATTTTCACCTTTGAAATACAGAAACCTGTGTGCACTGACCCATCAAAAAAAAAAATCTTTCCAACTTGATATCTGTCTTGTTATTTAGTCTCTTAATTTTTCACTGTCAGTTTGATCTGATTAGTCACCACAAAAAAAATTGTCATGAATGCCTCAAATACGTAAAAACCTATGGCTGCTTTTTACAGAAAATCCATGTGGCAGAGAGCCATTAGCAGAGGAGCAGACTTCAGAGAAAAAAATTAACTGAGGCATTTTTGATGGTTAAGGCAGTTTTCACACCTCTCCAAAATGATGTGATAAAACCTGATTGAATGTACCACCAAAAGTTCATGAGTATGGCTCATCCTCTTCTGGAAAGCCGCATAATAGTTGAAGTTGGCAGAGACCTCTCAAGACCTCTCTAGTCCAACCCATTACTTCATCCACCTCTAGTACAGCAGGTTGTGAGGGACCATGTCCAGTTGGGTTTTGGATAATGTCAATGGATGGAGACTCAACACCTCTTTGGACAACCACTTGGGTGATCTTCACAGTAAAGTGGTTTATTGTGTTCACATTAAATTTCCTAGTTTTTGAATTTGGAATTTGTACCCATTGCCTTCTGTCAGTAGGCACTTTTGAGGAGAGTCTAAAACCCTTATCTCCACTCCCTCCTCTGCACTGGAAATGATGCACTGGAAGATTAAACTACTTCCTTAAGTCATTCAATGGCTTAAATAATTACAGAAATTAGGTAATTGCAGACCCATTAGCATACAGCAATTCTCACTACATATGAAAGGGTTACATTATCACCATAAAGGGGAGTGACTTTTGAAAATCCATGGCTTTGTGACTCATCATATTCCTCAGCATTAGCTAGACAGAGCAATGTTATGTTTATACATTACTCTATAATTTAAATTTAGTACTTAATTACAGTTGTTATTTTTTTAAGAAACAAGCAACTTTATAGTACTTCAAACCTACCATAAACCAGCATTTAATAATGTTATCCTAAAATAAAATATGTGATCCCAACACAGACATAATGAAAATTTTTGTCTCAACAAAAATTGTGTGAATGTCATAAACAAAAAATTTACATATTTCTGAATTTTATCCTTTTAGAGTAAGACCTTTTTCTGGGGGTGTCAGGTTACATTTATGATAATTATGGTTTTTCTGCTATAGTCATTGGCAGAGAGAAATGAAATCCTTCTTTAAATCAACATACTAGCATTAGCATTGCACTGTATAATCAAATATTTTAAACTCTATTTGGAATCATGGCATAAAAAATCAGCTTTTCATAGTACACTCATTCTGGCCAAAACTCCTACACCAGCTAAGAATTAAATCAAAACAAGAAATACGTGCAACTTTAACCATAAAATGCAACTTCAGTGTCAGCAAACCCAAAGCCAAAGACAAGTTCACATAGAAGTCATAGCTTAGAAGTTTCATTCTTATGAGCTATGCTTCAAATATAATATAGAAAAATCAATTTAATCAGAAAAAATACACTGAAGAACATATGGGAAAATATGTCAGAAGCTACTTTAAACAAAAAGAGGACATTTAAAATATTATCTTGCCCATTTTTAATTTTTGCCCTCAAAATTATAGGGCTGCCAAAATCTGATTTTGTGACTATCAGTATCGAATTTGGAGGACCATAATCTAACATAAGTCCAGAGACTTATAGTATAAGCAAAACAATGACTCCTAATGAACAGCTTTATTTTTAATCTGATATTTCAGATAATATGAGAAATTTTTATTAAGCCTTATTTCTTTGTGCATGCTGATTGTGTTGGGACTGCATCATAGATTTTTATATGATCATATTTCTCATCTGTACTTTGATGACCAGTAAGTAGAATGAGAACATGCATTGGATGATGGTTGATTATATATACCATGTAATATTATATTTTTCCAAATACCTAGCTCACAACATTCCATGAAAATCAATACATACAAAAAAATATTTCTAAACAGAAAAAAACAAAAAAATGTGGTAAATTCTGGTTTTTTCCTCTTTCTCATGAAACCTGTAAGGAAAAAAACTTCATCTAATTATAAATACATGCAAAACAAATTCTGACAAAAATTATGACAAAAAAGTTATTGGATGTACTTTGCTTATGGTGTTATTCTAAAATTATCTTTGAGCAGCTACAACATAAATGGATGACTGAGCTACAGCAAGCAAAAGAATGAGCTGATGCCATGTATGGAAATGTCAGAGGTGTAAAAGAGTGAAATAACCACAAATGTGGATTTTTCACAAAATGGGGATGAGAGGAATTAGAGGGAGTTGAAATGGTTTTGATATGTACTAACCTAATTTCTAAATATGCTATGAAAAATTTGCAGAGAGCTACGATGTCTAAAATAAAAGGAAAACATTTCACTGTAATTTAAGAAAACTGCTGAACACAAAGTATCTTGGACTTAATGGAAAAGCCGTAAGTGTTGTTTTTTGACCTGATCTTCTTCCAAATCTTTGGTTTAACCCATCTAGACATAATTTTACATAATAAAAAATATCCTTACAAGTTGGTCTACAGGCATAGCATGAGTGACAGAGGAACAGATCAGAGCTACAAAAACAGGTGGTAGGGAGTGGGAACAGTTTGGTTTTGGTTTTTTAATGAGAACAAAAGCTCCAACTAAATTTATTTATTTATGGCACTCTTGGACATTTCTTGGACTAATTGCTTTTGTTTTGCATTATGTTTTGATCTTTCTTCTCCAGTTGCTTAGTCCAAAAATCTGAATAACTATATATGTTGTATGTCAAAAGACCACAATCCAGTCCTTTCCCACAAAAAAACTCATTATAGGCAGCAAAAAAATCACCCCAAACCAAAATAAAATAATATAGAATATAAAACACAAGCACAAGCACAGACAAGAATTGAATAGCTTGTGGTAATAACCAACATTTAGAGCAGCATAGAAATAACTAGATGAACAAGAATCAATGGAGTAATTAAACCAGTTATTTTCTCATAGTTCAGTGTTATCTGGGAGCAGCACATATGCCCTTATAAATCACTTTTCCCCCTTACATTAAATACTTGGTGATTTGATTTTTATTAATTAAAAAAAAAAAAACAACCTAAAAAAACCCCCAAAAAACTAAAAAAAAAAAAAAACCACAAAAAACCAAAAAACTATCAACAAAACCAGTCTATTGTTATGGTATGGAAAAATTAAAATATTTTATTGTGCCCATTTATTTGGTTTTCCCCTTAGAATTGCAGCCTTTCCAAAAAGCCAGAATACCACAAGAAACTAACACAAGACATATTTTAGATGTAGCTAATGACTGCATGTTATGCAAATCCCTTCACCAAATGAAATGGCAGTAATTGAAAAGGAAAAAGCACATACAGGATATCACTTTTCAGCTAAGTACAATTTCATATTGATGCAGCAAAGAGCCATATAATCTTCTAAGTAGTTTTTAAGAGGCCAATAGAGCTAGCTTGGCTTCTGGATCACTAAACCCTACAAAATAAGCATATTAATGATGGTTGCCAAAGAAGTTGCATTTACATACACTTGCTTTCCTTTCTACATATTTTGTTATGGACAATGCAATTCTCAGAATACCAGCAATGATCTTCCCTGGTAAGGATACCTGTGTGTGCTTGTATATACATAGAAAGTGCATCATGCACACCAAAAATAAATTGTGACTGTTGTGAATACAGCACAATCTTGCAGCTGTCTTTATTTTATACCCATCTCCAGTATGTGTTATCCATGGAAGACTAACCCATATAATGGACACAGAATTT